CGACATGGTTATATAAATACTTGGTTGCACTAGCTCTAGCAAAATTGTTTTGTTAGTCTGCAGACTCACTAGCGGGCTCAATCACAAATGTCTATCTTGATGATAAACCTCCACAACAGCAAATTCCTATCCAATAGATAAGAAATGTTTTTTAAGGAAGTGTTTTAAAATTTTATTTTATTTTGTTTTCTCTTTTACATTCATGCTCATCATAGCGTAGATCACGGATCTCTATAAATTTGGATCCAAGATCTATATAAAATGGGTGCTAGGGGAGCCCGCACAAGAATAATATGAATTGGGGGACTCATAAAAACTGGGTCCCTAATTTTTGACCTTTGTATTAGGGAAAAAGTTTATACAAGGTGTCAACTTTATACAGTAGAAGTAAGGTGCGCCTTATATAGTCATCGAAAAAGATTGTTTCGTCACTAGAAAATTTTTCAATTGATCATCTGGACCTCGATATATATTGATAGGAAAGAAAAAATAAATTCAAGTCGTAAAAATAGTTCATCTTATAACACATTATCTAGACCGTTCATTTTCAAGATTTTCGAGTATTCATAGATTTGCTAGATTTGCACCATTTTTGGAGCTTTCAACTTCATTATAGGGGTGAAACATAGACTTTTAGGCTATAATAAAAGTTTTGGCACAAAAAATATATCTTTTAATGCAATTTCAAAGTGCTCCTTACCATGATTGTCTAAAGTGTGAACCTTATACAAACCTCACCGTTGTATTCGACGCTTAAGATATGCACTCGATACCAATTGGGGTAACCATTGCGTAAATGTTCCTCCGACCGTGGGTGGAAATATTTACAGCACCTGGAGACATGTTAACTGATACGATCAAATATCAATCCTACCCTTACTCCTTTTCTCTTTGCTACCCACCTAGTGTATTTTACGGACATAAAAAGAGGGCACATTTACCAGAATTTAGGCTAAAAAATGGTTAGAGATGGTCTAAAAGAACATGATTGAAAATAATGAGAAAATATATTGCGACTTATGATCTCATTGAGGGCGTGACTTTTGATAGAGCAGAATGGCATATACTACAATTCGTATAACCGGTCCCAAATAGTTGAGAAAAGATTTTGATGATGATAATGATGACCTAAGAGTAGAACTAAATTATTTCTTGCTTAGTTCTTTTGACCTAATTTTGAATATCCATTTCTTTGATCGAATTTCAAGTAGCCCAAAATTGTTGGGCAGGTTTTGCACGGGTTACAAAACCAAGCAAAAGTCAGTTAAATATTATCTAACGGAGGCATCCTAGTGTTATGGTCCTGAAATTGTCAATATAGAAGAGTTGATGACCTTTTCTATTGCCAGTTTACATCATTAGGTGCATGGCTCCATGAAGTATTATGTGTCCTCAAAGTGATGTTGAAGTTACTCGGGAGTTAACGCCAAATGGTGAATTAATTACCCAAAAAAAAAAAAGCTAGCAGCAAAGCTATGGTTCTTGATGTGCTCTTATTGTAGACAACTGATAACCGTAAACGAAAATGTAGACAATTGAGAAAAATTGTAGACAACTGATAACCGTAAAGGAAAATGTCGGATTCTCCTGTTAAGGAAAGCTTATATTATCTATAGGGGTAATTATAGAAGGTGTATGTTATAATTAGTATATATGGGAAATGTGCAGTATCATGTATTTTATAGTAAGTCTGATGTTTAAGTCTCTATGATTTATTTCTATTTTTCTTATATCTAATTTGTCTATAAAAGACAAATCTATATATTCATACAATTAATGGACATTGAGTTATTTCAGAGAAACGTGAGACTATTCACAATAAATATATGCAAAATAAATGAATATATCTATAAATCGAATGTAGGAAATAAAGTAATACTTAAATCACACCACAACAGCACACGATTTATATGGCTTATCCGATCGGGCTACGTCTTTGGCCTCAGCAAGTAGAAATCCACTATCATAAATGAAGATCACAATTTTCGGTTAAAAGAAATATATCTCCATCCAAACATCAGTAAAAAAAACCCTCATTGATTTTCCCTTGTAAACTCGTTCCCCCGATCGAAAAATACTATCGATCAACTTCATCTTTTTTAGTGCCACACCACTACCAAAAAGATAATCTTGGTAGCAACCGAGATACTTCTTCTTTCTAAAATGGAAACTTTACCAACCCAAAACCTCTAAAATGGAAACTTTACCAACCCAAAACCCCAACGAGAAGAACACATCTCTCTATTAGGTCATATCTCTCTCTCTCTAAGAGACCTATCTCCTTCTTAGAGCCCCATTAACTTCAAAAAGGGTGACCTTTAGAGGATGAGTGTTATGTTTTTCTTTAACCCCGTTCATAAACATCAATAAGCTTCAAAAAGCCTTTATTATTATTATTATAATACCCTTAACTTTTTGAGAAAAACATCAATGTAAGGATTTTTTACTATCACTAAACCCAAAAGGGTTGGAGTCTAAGAAGAAACTCAAATATGTGGTCCAAAGTCCAAATTTCTCAACCCGAATTTAACCCGGCTACTCTTTTAACCTTATTTAAATATGTTTTGTTTAATTTTATTTTTCCTATTTGTTTGTTTTTTTGTGTTTTTTATTTTTTAATACTTTTTTGTTGCTACCGTACTTAGCTCTGGCATGAGCCGAGTACTCAGCCCCAGCCGTGGTTTCGAACATTGGTATTGGTAAAGAAAAATACAATTTCACAAAAATAAGTAAATATGAGACCATTTACCTTTTATATAAGGACGTCGCAATCACTTACAACCATCCGATGTGAAATCTAATAGCCTAGATGTGTCACAATGTTTGAGGAAATTTCTTTTATACTTCAGCTTAATCAATATAATAAATATAGCCACCCAATTTCACATCTACTGGTCAAGATTAATTGTGACCACCTTGTACCAAAGATAAATGGTCTCATAGTATATTTTTCTCTTACAAATTTGAAGTACCAAATCCTTCTCTCTTTTTTTCTTGATTTCCTTTTCTTTTGTTTTCTCTATTATTCCTTTTGACTGATTTTTCCATTTTCCGATATAACTCTCCCTTTCCCTTTATAAGGGTGGTTTCCATTATATAATACACATCTGTCATACTCATAATATACAATGTTGTCAAATTCACTTCGTTTCGGCTGAAGAGGCTGAAGCCTTTGGATTTTAGGCTTAGACTGAAGCGAAACGAAGCTCGGTCCTACCGTATCAGTTAGATTCAAGCCACTTCGGTTAGATTAGGGTTTGCTTCAGGTAGATTTGGTCGAAGCTTCGGCCTCTTCAATCCAAACAAAGAAATATCTATATAAAAATAAGTATTTTTTATTTTTTCATTAATTTTATATATTGGTGTTGCTACTTCAATCAGATTCGAGCTGCTTCGATCAAATTTGGGTCTACTTTGGGGCACATTCAGCTGAAGCTTCGGCCTCTTCTGGCCTAAGCAAAGAAATATCTAAATAAAACTATTTTTAAATTTTTTTAAATTTTATTTTTTATTTATTTAATATATTGGTGTTCTCACTTTGGTTAGATTCAGGCTGCTTCAGTCAAATTTAGTTATGCTTTGGGCAAACTTGGCCGAAGCTTCGACCTCTTCGACCCAAGCAATGAAATATTTATATAAAAGTATGTTCTATTTTTTAAAATATTTTATTTTATTTCTTATTTTTATATGTTTTTATATATAAATATCTAATTTGTTTATATTAAATTTAAAACAATCTGAAGTCTTCCCTCGAATCAACCGAAGCACCAAATTGCTCTATCTTCGTCACCAAACTGAAGATGACCCCGAATCTGACAACAATTGCGATTACTCCCTTGGGCATAGGACTAACACAACAAAAATTATTTGATTTAAAAATTCTTAGAACCACCTAAAATTATTAGATAATTATATTCAAAGAGCACGTGCAAACTTCATTCACTTCTATTCCCTCTTCGGAAGACCTATTTGGGAATATTTTTTCTAAGCTGAAATTTTGGAAATCACTTAAGAATTACTAGATGATTATTCTAAAAATATGGGTTTTTTAATACTTCGATCTCAGTGTCTAAAAATTGGATACTCTCTATTCAATCTTGATACATTATTTTTTTTCAAGTGTAGAGAGGGTAATTAGGATTTTTTTAATGAGTTAATCAATGAGTTGAAGGGATCCTTGGGCTTTACCTAAAGAAGTAAATAGACGTTCCACTCCCTAGGAATCCAAATTTATTCATCAAATTAATTGTAAGCGAGGCTTTACCTAAGGGAGTAAATGAACATCCAAATATGTACCAAGGAATCCAAATTGATTCCTACTTCATCGGTTTAATCTACCATCTCAGTTAAGGGAAGTGATGGAAAGAGCAGGTTCAAAATCATGATCGATTATTTTTTCAAATCTTGTTGTTGTTGCATGGGCCCTTCCCGAATGCTTCCACAAGAGTATAATCGAAATAAAATTTTGAATTTAGAGTTTTCTAACTCTTCATTCTCACCCTTAAAAAATAACGCAGTTTCTTCAATCTTGCGGAATTATTTTCCTCAAGCCTGTGAAAAATGCAATATAGAAATCTTTTTTATTATGAAATATTTGTTATAGCTTTAAAATAAATTTTTATATCTAATTATAGGGGAATGATTCATGCAACGGTTGTATAGTTGTATAATGCAACCATCTTCAAAAACCATGTTAGAGACATTTATTTGACACAAATTTTTAAATGTACACCCTTTTCATTTTGAAAAACAATAAAAAAAAAGAAAATTTTGAAAAAATTGCTAAAAAAAGTCTTCATTCTAGTCCAATTAATATAAGCCGTCCATTTTATTGAGATGGTTAGATATAGGGCTCAAAAGGATTTTTTTATTTCCAAAAATTTTATATACCATTATCATCATCAGATTAATAATACTTAAAAAAAAAGAATTTGAATTTGTTAAGACCTAAATCTTGAAATTCACCAATGGATGGTTGAGGTTCATTGTAGGATGAATATTAATTTTGACCATATCTAGAGTGTAAATTGAATTTTTTATATCATAGGATTGATTATGAAGATGAAGAGAATGTGTGTACAAAATTTGGGATTATACAAATACCAAAAATATAGTTTTATGGAGGTGTGGTTGCATTATAAAACTATACAATGGTTACATTAAATCATTCTTCCTAACTATAAAATCTAAAGCGTTAGTGTAGATCTAGTAAATCTATAAAAATTTAAAAATTTTGAAAATGGACGGTTAAAACAATGGAGATGCACTGTTTTCAAAACTGAAAGTCTTTTTTTTTTTTATTGTCATGTTTTATGAATATTGAGGTCAGATCAATTCAAGGATATTTGAAGCTGAAAGCACATCTCTTTTGGTGAAATTTTTGTGAGTGCGCTTGTTTAGAGCCATAAACTTTTTCCTTATCCTTTTTGGGCGTATTCTCAGTTGTAAATCCCAAGCTCTTCGTCTCTTTGGACCTTCCAATGGCGGCAGCGCTGATAGGTTCATCTTCCGTCCGTTTTCTCTTCCGAAAATGCCCTCATTCCACCTGTCTGGAACCCCACAATCCCCCTTCTCTCTCCCTCCTCAATCCCTGTTATCCCCCTCTCGTTTCCTCTTATTTCCACGAGAGGAGCCTTCATTTGAGAGCGGCTTTTGCAGTCGAAGAAGTTGCAGAGGTGAAAGCGGAAGATGTTGCAGAAGTAGAGGAGGAGGAGGAGGAGGAGATTTTAATAGAGAAGAAGAGGAAGCTTTATGCAGAAAATCTCCCATGGACTTTCTCGGCCAACGACTTGAGGAATTTGTTTGGGCAGTGTGGAGCTGTGAAAGACGTAGATGTGCTTATTTCTTCTCTTTATCCTCTCATTCATGGTTTCTAGGGTTTTATAAGTTCTGCTTGCTCCTCCATTTTGAGTTTTGAATGTTATGTTTCCTGTTTCTAGGCGTTTGACTTTTAGAATAATCCCAATCATTTCTACGGTTTCTGGTTTAATCCTTCTTCTTTGTAGGGTTTTGGCGTTTCCTCGGAATTCTTCTCGCTCGTGGAGTTTCTGGTTTCAGTTGAATCCTTCTCATTTTCAGGGTTTAGAGTTCCTGGTTTCGGTTAAATCTTTTTCATTTTCAGGATATAAAAAGTTCCAACTAATGCTCCTCATTTTAGGGTATCAAGAAATCCAATCCAATTTCTAGGGTTTTTGAGCTGAAACCCAATCCTTCTCCAGTGTACTATTATGGGTTGGAAACACACAATGACATGGATTGGAAAACCAAATAATCTCTGTTGTTTATGCCCAAAACTATCCATCTGGAAGTTATAGCGTACTGGCCACTGGGGTTTCGATTTACCCCTTATAATCAAGATAATCTTCCACGGTTGCAGACCACCGCCTTCAGAAGTTTTTGTCGTATCTTGAGAAGATTCTTGTCATTTCATTTTCTAATGTCTAATTTATATATGAATGGAGAAGGCTATTTTTTGAATTGTTCAATTTAACACCCCGCCAAATCTTAAATACCATTCACATCCTTCATACAGCATGATTCCGAAGAAAAGAAGGTGTTAAATTTCGGTCATGGAGCAATGCCAAATTTTTCGACTTTAGGGTTTTTTCTGATATTTGGCTATATTTCTACCACTATATGCTATCTGTTGTTGATATTTATCATGGAGTTAATGCTAAGTCAATGATCGGCATTCTTCATTTTGTGCATATTTTGGCCACTCTCAGCATCATTTGGTGTATAGTGTATACATTTTCATTGATTAATGAAAACAACTAGTTTCTTACCCTTCCCAAAGGTGGGTTACTTGTCTCAGGATTCTTTCATGCTAATTAGGATTTTCTGTGTGATATTTTCTTAACTAGGTTTTGAAATGCCTATGTTGATGATATTTGTTTTCCCTTCTATCATTTTCTTTCTGCCATGTCTCGCCTCCTAAGGATTGCTTCTGGAGAAATCCTCTAATTCAGCAATACTGTATGAGCTTCTTGATAAAGAAAGAGTAAAATCTTCCATGGGATTGGTCTACATACTAAAAAGTGAAAACCTCTCTCAATAGATCAACACTTATTGTCAAATTGTTCAGTAATGTATTCAAACTGAGGGCTCATATTAAGATCTAGTAGTGATAGCAATATTTGAATACTTTGTATGCGCAGGTATCCTATTTTGGATGCACACCCATGCTGTTATCAACTTCCATTTTGTTTCTGAACCTCTGGAAATATATGATTGGTATTCTCGTTGTGTTACATAAAATCTCCATGGTCTACTTGAAAGTGATTATATCTCGAAATAAAGCAATGTTCTTGGTATATTGGAAGAAATTGGTGCTATCTAATCATTCATGAAGATGGTGAGGCTGTTTTGACATATTTTTCATTAGAAATCCACTCATGGTTCTTCTGTTTTTGTTTAATTTTCTTTTTTTTCAGATTATTAAGCACAAAAATGGCAAAAGCAGAGGCTTTGCGTTTATCACCATGGATTCCACAGAGGAGGCTGTTGCAGCAATTGATAAATTTGATTCTTATGTAAGTTTTATTTGCACTACTTTCTCTTCATGCTCTGTTTGTGCATCTTTCTTTTATTTGGTAATATGATGGTATGCTAGTTATCCTTTTATTCTGGCAGTTTTTGTTGGATTTTTCCTTTTAATCTTATTTCCCATTTTAGGGCTTCCTTGAATTCATTCAGTTGGGTGGAAAGAGTATTTTTTGTTTCTTTTATTTTCTTGTATGCATTTGATTGAATCACGGAGCTGTTTCTCTTTGTTGTTCTTCTTGTTGAAGGAACTTACAATTGATGACTTTTGGTTAATTGGCAAACTCATGTCCTTTTTTACTGCTCTTTTTCATGGTTTTTCATCATATCTCTTTCCTGTTTTTCATATATCATCTTAAATCTTTTCCTCTATTTCTATGTTTTCAGTTCACAATTTTCCTGTTTCTAACGTTTCATTTGGTGTGAGTCATTGTAAATTGAGCTTATGAGAACCGTGACACTGACAATGTAGGAATTGATGGGAAGGATTATAAGAGTACAGTTTGCAAAGCGTATGAAGCCTCCTCGTCCAGACAATATGGTTATGGACACAAATTATAAGATATATGCCACCAATCTTACTTGGAAAGTGAGGTCCAGCCACCTTCGAGAATTCTTTATGGCCACCACTAGCCCAGTCTCTGCTCGGGTGGTTTTTGATAGCCCTTCAGGAAAATCTGCAGGCTATGGTTTCATTGGATACGCTACAAAGGAAGAAGCAGAGGCTGCTATTGCTGAATTTAATGGAAAGGTCAAAGCTTATGTCATCATGCATCCTATATACTGTGAGATGATTTATTTCATATAGGCAGCTCATCGACCTTCCGAACTCCAGACGGACAGTGGCGATTCAACTGTAGTTGTCTTGAATGGCTATTTTTTCTGATCTACAGTTCATTTCCACTGTTCATCTTGAGAGTGTATAGCAAATCCCCTGCCAGTAAATTTAGATTATGCAGCATACGGCATGTGCATGTCATACTCTCATATATTATTGAATTTTGAGGTCTTCAGGACGTTCAGTTAAGAGTTTCTAACTGAATACCTGTTACATGTTTTGGTGACTTCAGGAGTTGATGGGAAGACCGCTTAGATTGCAATTAAGTCAAAGGCCGCCAGATGAGCCTGATGGGGAATCAAAAGTGGAAAGTGATCCTGAAGATCAATCAGAAGAATCTTAATATTCCCAGTGACGATTTATTGTAGAAACTGAGATGTAAGTGTCTATTATATGTATCTATAGAATATTTGTGCTAGATTTGAAAAAAACCCTTCCCATCGTATTGAATTTTGTGCTACCATATAGGCGAAAAGGATAAGACCAAAGAGGAATTCACCAATCATTGTACAAAGAAAAAGTCCCAACTTTTTTTTGACTTAAAAAAATCAATGTCAATGTATAAATCTGGGTTAATAGGCATGTAGAAATAGTCTCAATTTTTATGTTGTTTTCTGGTTTCCATGCCGAGTACTATTTATTTCTTGAGCTTTTAGGACTGAACAGGCCATTGACTTGTGCGTGCGATTGGTCTGGGTTAACCTACCCACTGTTTGGAGCAATCTAACCCAGAAAGATAGGAAGAAATAAAAAGATTTAGAATAAGGGTACATGTCTACTTGGAGAATGTTAACTTTTATATATAAGAGAAATATAATTAGGGGAGAAGAGAGAGAAGCTATCCACAGGAGGATAGCAGGCATACAAGGGGGGGAAAGAAGAGAGAGGAGAGTGGAGATAGAATAAAAAGGCCTTCTTTCTTAAGGTTACATTGAGTACAAAACAATCAACTAAAAGAAACCCATTCCAAAAATTTGCGTATAGTCCTTCACTGGCTGCCACTTCCTTGGCCAGAGCGTCCGCCTCCTGGTTTGACTCCTCCATATATGCTTCCAGAAGACTCGCATACCCCTGCAAAGGTTGTATATTTTGTCAAAGATGTGATCCAAAACCCAGGGAATAGAGGAAAAGCTTTTGGTCTAGGGTACATGCCAACATTTTGTGTTTTCAATTTGTTCTGTAGTACACTGACATAATAGAAAGCTCATTAGCATTTTCTAGGGTTTAAAAGATATAGAGTACAAATATGAGGTTTTGGTCCAAGAAGGGTGAGGATCTTAAACTTCTTAACCCATCCCAAGACCGGGTAAAGGATGTGGATTGTGTTAGGTAGGCGTCCAAGATAAGCTTTGCCAAAACTTTCCATGAATCCTGAATCTACAAATATGAGGTTTCGACTTTAAAAGTTTAAATAGCAAAGTGTATGAGTTTGTACTAACTTTGAAATAGAAGAGAAGATTTTATTTTTTTGGTTGCACTTGCACATTAATGATACAAGATATAGATATGCCCCTTTACAATGAAGTAGTATTTCTGCTTGTTATATAGTGTGGCGGCTTTCATTTGATGTGCTTTTTCTTTATTTTATGGTTTGGGCTTGTTTTTTTTTTTGAGGAAATCATTATGTTTGGAGGCAGAGATGTCATAGAAGTCTATTTGGCATAGGCGAATTTCCGTAGGCAAATTTTCATTTTCAAATTTTACTAAGCCAACTCACCCTCCATACTTGTATAGATCTTCAAACTCCACAAGCAAGTTAACTTTTCACATACTGACATATGAATTGGAATCCTGCACAGCTTTTGGTCTAATTTTACCCATGCGGATTCCTAGATGAGAAATCAAATTTGATGCTCTTTCAAAAAGGCATCAGTGCCTTGAGAAATATAAATGCCACACTGATTTGACTGTAAATTGATTTTTGAGAGAAGGCTTTGACAAATTTACTCATGTTTTGGCTAAAATGAGTTCTAGAAACATCTAAGACTGTTGAAAATATTGTATCGATTGGTTGTTAAGTTGAATTTGAAAATTTTGTATCGTAGTTTTGGCTGAGTGCATCTCATATTTGGCTGGTTGTAATTGCAGATTCCAACGGTTTTTGAAGATAAATGGAATGATATGTGATGGACATGCCATCTGAGGGCAAAAGACAATTCATGCGAGATATTGCTGTTTAAGCATGCGCTGAATACTTTGAGTGGTGCTCTTAATGCTTATAATTTGGGTACCGAAAAGTTTTTGAGGCAATATAGAGCTGGAAGCCTCTTTTTGGGTACCACAATGCCTGTGCAAGATGAATCTTTGCTCGTACTCCATCTCAATACTGTATTTGATTTATTCATTTATTTCCCCAGAAAATTGTGATGTGAGTGAGCATTAAATTATCAAGAAAATGTGAGTACTATGTATCCTTCAGAGGTACCATTAGGGAAAGGGTTGAATTTATTTGGTGCACATTTTTTCCCAATAGTTTCTTTTCATGTTTTCAACGCCATTTTGTCTCCTTTTCAATAAATAGAGACTAACATAACTGGAGCTTACGGAGGCTGACATCAACTAGAAAATGGGCAGAGAAATTGAAAAATGGAGAGCATGCCTTGACTGAGGGTAATGCACAAAAAAGTGGTGGAAGTGATGATCCTCAACCAAGGCCGGCTCTGAGACCATTTGATTTTTAGCTAGCATTACACTTTGACTAGCATTCAACTCTGTGTGATGCACATGCATAAAAGTTAGAGGGAATCAGAGAAAGATGGTCAACTATTTGGAAGTAAGATACCTAGCATAAAAAATATAATTTTGGGAAAAAAATGCTATAGTGACTAAATTTTTAGAAAAGATGTAAATATTTGACCTTAAATGTGGTTATTAGGAAGAAAATTGATTGTAATAAATTACTTGAGAAATTAAATATTTAGACTTAAATATTTTTTAGAAAATAGTCCTCATCGGTTAACTTATAAGTAAAGGACCAGTTTTCTTTGACAACTCCATACTTTTAGCTGAGGGTAAATGAACAAATTTTTTGTTATTAAAAAAAAAGTTATAACACTATTAGATATTTTCATATAGAATTAAGGCATTCATACAGGAAAGATTCGGAACAGCATCTGATACACTTGAATGCCATCAAGCCCATCTATAGTGATATATGAGAAATTAGGTATTCAATATAATATACCAGCAGAAGTCTTGGAAAATAATCATGACATATGAGGAGACCCATCTATCTTTTTTGTTTTTTTCTAGGGTTGATTCACACTTTTATATTTCAGACACTCTTCCGTGCATGACTTTTCTCGTAAAATATGTTACTTAGCAACAAAAAAAAATAAAAATAGACTGTTATTTAGAACCTTCAGTTGCACTATGAAGTATAATTTTCTTTCTTTTTTTTTTGGCTAATTGGACCTTAAGAGGGCTACTCCGTTGAGCTCTCCTCTCTTCTTTTTCTTCTACCGTTTTTTATTTATGTTGCATGGATCGATTTCTTGCTTTGAAAAGGACCAAGCTCCCTATTATCTGCAATGAACTTCTGCATTTGTTCTTACAAATCATGAGAAATAAGGAGCTGTAGCTCTTAGGCAGGCGCCCAGACACAAGCCGCCTAGGTGGCCCACCTAAGTTCCGCTTAGGCGTTTTAGTAATTTGGCCTGGGTGGCCGAATTTTCCATTAAATGTTATTTGTCTTGTTGGTTTTAGTTGACTATGCATTGTAGATTGTAAGCTCACATCAGGCTGCATTAACTTGGAAGTTAAAATCAAGTAATGTGAGGTTGGGTTTAGATTGTACACTCACGTCAGGAGGCTGCATTAACTTGAAGTTTAAATCAAGCAATGTGAGCAACAGAGAAGAGTTCATATTCTTCTGTGACCACCCTTATTGACAAGTCCATGTTCTCAGCTCATTGATTACCCATGTATTTCAAAAGGAAAAGAAAATAATAAAATAAAGAAAGATGGGCCAGGCCGACCCTGTCGTGACCCTAACCCAGGCCAGCCCAGCTCAGCTTCCCCTTAGGCCCTGGTGGCCTGGCCCTCAGGCCACATTTTGTGGGCTTGGCCAACCAAGCTGGACCGAACCACCCGGCCCATTGCCAGCCTTACATTTCTATTTGTCTTAGTGGTCCAAAAAAAGAGTTTGTGATGATGGTATTCGTATTCTGCTACTTTCATTTTCAAAGCTACAACCTATCAGGAGTAGTTTTATCATTCATTCCGCCATTTTTGTCCCTTGTTAGTATTCATGATAAATATAATTTCCAATCGGCTGTTGAGTTTATTTGTTTATTTTTTCGTAATCATGATATTCGACCCCGCAACCCAGGTGCAGGTGCAGGTGCAGGTGCAAATGCAGACTACATGTACCAAACATATAGGGTACAAGGCTCCACCACCATATTCATATTCTTCTCGAATATCTTACCCTTGTCATCTCTCCCTTTTCCCACTCAATATGCATGCTTCTAGTTTTTCAGGATAAAGCCACCTTTCCGTTGTTATGGAGTAATGAGTCAGGAAATGGATAAGATGATGATCTGAGTTGTGAATATGGTGCTTCTGCTAATCCTATCCTGCCCTCTTGTTCATCATTTTTGCTTCTCTCCTTACCTGCAAAATTCGACAAGTTGAAAGCATAGATTTGGTTCTACATTTTTTCTTGACTGAATCTTTTTGGGCATCTACAAGTGACTAAGATACTCCATCCATTGGTTCTCTTTGTTAGATAAGAATGTTCTTGTTAAGGATGAAATCAACAAGGAACACTACCCCTCTCTCTCTCTCTCTCTCTCTCTCTCTCTCTCTCTCTCTCTATATATATATATATATATATAGGCGTGGTTTGTATAGTGCCTAGGCTCTAAACAATCGAATTAGTGCCTACTTTCAAATAGTATCCAGATATGTGGTTTCAATACTGTAAATCTTGGTGATGGCTTTAAAATATATTTTTATCTTTATTTATAAACTTTAAAGCTTCAAAACTAGTGTAGATTGACAGATCTATGAAAACTTGAAAATCTTGAAAACTGACCGTCCAAAAATGCATTACAAAATACACTATTTCCAAAATTTGAAATCTATGTTTTTTCTCATGTCCATGCATCTTGATGTCGAGATGATCAATTTGAGGATATTTGGGCATCAAAACAACCTCTTCTAAAGAAGTTTTTGAGGAAGGCTCTAATTTGATTGTTTAGAGCCTCCGCTCTATAAAACGCCTATGGACAAAAATGAATAGTATTTTTGTCCATAGGCTCGGTGCATGTCTGTGACAGGATTTTTTCACGCAAAATCGATGTAAATAATTATATCGGGACCGCCACGGCTCCCGTATGTCCATGGTGGTTTTTAGGCAAAACCGTCGTGCACATAGCATGTCCATGATGGGGGCGAAACACTGTAGCATTTCGCCTATAGGCATTTTAAGACTTTTTCTATATATATGAGAAATGATCATATAGGACGTTTCCCCCACCAATACGTGTAGAACCCCAAAAGATCACCATTAAATTTGACACAGATCTATAGAAAAGTCAAGCCCCACACCTATGGGTGGGGGAGGTTCCTATAGGACCATTACTATATGTGTGTGTGTGTGTGTGTGTGTGTGTGTATGTGCAGTTTGCATAGAGCCGAGTCTCTAAACAATCAAAGTAAAGCCCACCTTCAAATAGTGTCGAGAAATGTGGTTTCAATACTAGAAACCTT